AAAAAAAACAGCTACTTTATACCGTGGTCGTGTTATCAATGTCCATAGGAGCATCATCTTTATGCTGTGGTTGGACCTGAACCTGGAAGTTATCCACGCAACATAAGACTTTAAATGGGCTTGGAATAAGTAATAAAAAACTAAATGAATGTGGACAGATTGAAATAATGGCCATAGGTATAAGCACTGTACATTCAGTTCTGAAGAACTGGCATCTTTAGAAGGCTCGTCCGTGTGGGACTTAGACTCCCCTTCCTGTTTTTTTAAAAAAGCTTAGTATAAACAGTTCATAACAAAGCAGATATATAAAGTGTAAGAAAAAATGTACATCATAGTCTGAGGACTCATCAGCAGAGGACTCTGAGTCAGTGTCTCCAAGAGTTGTATCTCCAAACTCATCAGTATTACATTCTTTATCAGAATTGCCCTGGGTAATATACATAAAAAGGAAGGTTAATGGGAATAGAAAAACAATTGTCACCAATTCCAGATGCGCTAACTGGTAGACCATCTAAGTATACAATATCCATACCTTTCCAGATTCGTCATTGCCAATTAATACCTCACGTTGAATAGAATTATCAAGTCCAGACACTCCACCTGATTTAACCTGCCAGTTGTTACTAAGAGTAAGCAACTCTTTGGTCGTTAAGGTGTGAGTTATGGGGCAGACTATGCTGTTAGCATAAAAAGAAGTTAATATTAGAGTCATACTTGAGTCCCATTAGTTGACGGGTCAACACCACTGAGCCCTTCATCATTGGATTTGGAAGCGACAGGAGCGGTGACAGTATCTGCTGGCTGTTTGGAGAATGGGAGGAATGTTTGGCGTAAAACCTTCCTTGCTGACACGGCAAGAAATGACTTCTTGCGAAACCTTTGTGATTTCATTGATTGAAACCTTTTCTCAAGCTTGTCAGCATGAGAAGACAACCGTTGAACCTGCAGATCAAAAGCACTTTTGATCTGGACCAATTCAGACTCTAGACATTCCACCCGTGCAACTAAATCATCACGCGACAATGGGTCAAAACGTTTAGAATGACGGGCTGATCTTCTTCTCTTCGATGAGGAAGGGTTTTTTTCAACCGAAAGGGTTTTCTTTTTACTGCGCGGCTTCACAGGTTTCTTCTTCACAATACTAGCCTTCTGCTTAATAACTCCAATTAAATTAGTTGAACAATCACCACCGGGCCACTCGCGCTTGCTGAACCGATATCCTTTGCTGACTTTATCAAGCAAGTAGTCAACCCTCTTGTCTTTGACTTCATCATCCCAATCAAACACCTCTTGATTAAGGGACACATATACGAGGGGGTCGACACATAGCTGTGTAAAAATAGGAATCTTAATAGCAATGTATGTAATGAACAAAATAGCTACACACCAAACTGTTAGTTTAACAGAAATTTACTTACAGTTTCTGTTTGTTCAACCGAATGAATGATAGTGAGAGCGGTGGATTGTTTAGGAATCTTGGATGATGACCAGGAGACAAAATCCCTGTGGTCAGAGGGATCAGTTAACGCTTCAGCCATGCCAGATATGTTGCGGTAAGCAAGAAGCTGCAAAGCTAGTGGGAAGCCTTGAAGACGAATTGTTTGCTGCTTGAATTGTTGAGCGAAGGCTTTAATTTGATCAGTATTCTTTCCAAATACTTTGGGGGCCGGCTGCATGAACATAATAGTCCTAAAGAAAGACTCTCTCCCCCAGGGGAATTCAAGAAACGACTCAATATCCTCCAACATCAAAACATACTTAAAAGAAGGGCGATGATATTGCTGTTTAGCGAGTAAGACACCGTCAACAATAAGAAGCAAAGCAAGTCTTAGCCTGTTATCTCCCAATACAAGCCCGGGAGTTGATAACCTAGTACGAATATCACTTAGAGTAATGAGCTTGTCTTCACCAAGTAACTCATCCCAGTAAGACAAAACACCTTCCTCGGGCTCCGGCTCTGACTGAGGATCGTAATTGTCAGGGAATTCACCACAGGGAAGACCAGTAACTGAACCAAACTCAACAAGCGAAAATCTTAAAGGCTGACCACCGAATACTGTCCAAAGTTCGTATTTTTTTTTGGTTATGAGCTGCCTGCATATCAGGGCGTGAATCAGCTTGCAGGAAATCGAGCACTGGCTAACAGGGAGGGCAAAAAGCGACCCGAAACAGGAATTAAGAAGTCTGTCATACTCCGAGGAACCCTTCAGTTGTTTCCTGATGAAACAAAGCGTGTCTGGCTTGGAATAAACATTAAGCCTCCCCCGCGGGTAACGGTCGGTAGCGAACAGACGGGGAGGAAGGAGGTTATCCCATTGACCAGAATCTAAAAGTAAAATGATCGCTTAAACTGTGACCTAAGGGTAAATTGAAACGAGAACAAATAGAATTGGATACCTGTCATTTTCCCCGAAAGAGACGTAATCAAACGGAAACGGAATGACAGAAATCTCCTGAGGCGGCCTGATATTCGACTGTAATTTGGGATTTACTGCAAAATCTCAACGAGTGAAATAGAGGTTTGTACCGAGGGAGGCGGGGGCGATATTTTGGAGAACGATTAGGGTGGAAATATTTGGGGTAACTTTAGTTAGGGTTGGGTAACTTTAGGGGGAGCTTTAGTTGAGGGTTAATAGGTCTTTACACTCGTTTTAGATTTTGTGAAAGATGAAAGTGTGCCAGAGTGAAGTGTAACTTGAGAATGTGTGGGAAAGTGTAAATATCTCCTTTTTCATCTGCCAATCTCCATGTAATATATTTAACCAGTTTGTAATATACTTGTAGTCAAGAGCTAACCGGCCATCTCATGTTGACCTCGTTTTTACATGAAAGAAAAAACAAACTTACTGTTCATAAACCGAGGAAACAATAGCAAACTTAAACAAGCAAGGCAACAAAGCAAAGCAAGAGAGTTAAGTAGAGTTACAAAAGTCTAGATAGATGTTATTTTACACTCAAATGAGTATTTCTAGTGGTGGAGTTCGCACTAGGTGAGGTGAAAAGGAAAACTGTCGACTGCATCTCTGATCGATTTTCCTGATCGGTTGAAAACCGATTGGAGCTCATTAGACCGTTTTTCGTGTTTTGCCGCTCGGTTGTCCCGATCGGCTGGAAACCGATCGGTTATTTTTTCGTTTAACATTACCGATCGGGTTTCTTGATCGGTTGCAAACCGATTGGATCTCATTAGACCGTTTTCGTGTTTTGCCGCTTGGTTGTCCCGATCGGCTGGAAACCGATCGAATATTTTTTCGTTTAACACTACTTATCGGGTTTCTTGATCGGTTGAAAATCGATCGGAGCCTCTTTAGTGATTTTTCATTGTTTTGCCAATCGGTTGGTCTGATCGGTTGTAAACGGATCGGAGCTCCATTTCCGCCTTTTTGGCTCGGCTTCCTTCGCTTTGATCTCGTGCTCTCCTGCAACTCCAAGTGTGCTGAAATATATACACAAACCACAGAAGAATGTGCAATATACATTCGACAACTCTTAAAGTACTATAAAACTCAATATATCACAAAATGACCATAATATACTTATTATTCAAAGAATATGTATATGAAACATACAAATATCATGAGGCAAACCATGGTGAAATACATGTATATCACCACCCCGGACTTGCTTTTTGCTTGTCCTCAACCAAACAAGTTATCAAATACGCTCAAATTAATTTCCTGAACAAGATTATGCATTTAGAATTTTGAAGTTCAGACATGATTTTTGAAGAAATGATTTTTTTTTGGTGCATCTTAAAACAATTTCTTAGGAAATTCTCTTTTTTTTTTTATATGAAAATAAAATCAAATTAAAAATCAAACAAATCAAATCCAAAATTACACAAAATAAAATAGACAAATCCAAATAACAACAACGTAGTCCTCCCCCGGACTAGTCTTACACCGTCTTGGTGTTTCAGAGTGTTGTCTACAAATAAAAACCAAAAACAGCAAAACTAAAATGAAAAAGACAATTTTATGATAGGATGGTTTGACCTTTGTTTTAACTGTGGTCTCAGTTCATTCATCTTCGTCTTCGCTCGATACGTAATCCGGCGGTTGCAGCTTCTTCACTTTCCAGAACAGTTTGGCGATGAGCTTCTTCTGTATCTCATTTATCTTCCTCTGAGCTTTATATGCTGCTTGGATGAGTTTCTCCCGCTTTGTTCTTGCTGTAAACTCTATGCATTGTGTGCATTGTGTTTGGGTTTAGTAGTCTATACTTAGGGTATAGCTATATTTTCGTTTCTTTGCTGTACCAAATAATTGATAGACTTTATATGGGTTTACTACTAATATATTTTCATTCATTGCATCATTTCAACATCTGCTATTGGAGTTATAGCTGTCTTTTTTACATTTCAATATACAAGGTTGTTTTCAAATTAGTGCAGGGCCATTGTAATTTAAATAACTACTTTTAAGTTCTGTAGAGATATTATAAAAACTGAGAGCAACCAACAATCCTAAACAGGGATAATTATACATTACAGCCACTAGGCTTCGACATTTAAATGTTTTATAGAGTAGCAAGTCCCTAAGAGCTCGGAAGAGTAAGTTTAGTCTTACAAGAACCATTTCAAAACAAAACAAAATAAAAGATCTTGAAACCAGGGAGAATAAGTCCGTCTCTTTAGTATCATTGTTACCTCCATATCATCAGCCACTACAAGAAATATCTACATTATTAACACGAGAGAAGAGCTATAATATGTCATTGATAGCGTTTTCATAAATGCTATTTTAGGCCCCTGTTATGGTAGACCCCCACATACGATAACGTTTTTTTGGCATGTTATTTAATGTCTATATATTGTAGCGCTAATCGAATGCTATAATATATTTTACTGTAACACACGTTTAGTGTTGTTTTATAAAATGTTGTAACATTATTTTTCCGCTATATAAATTTAATTTGATTTTTATTTAATTTGCATTTTTGAACCCTGTTTTGCAATATTTATTTTATTGGATTTATATATAATTTCTTTTTATTACATAAATTATCAAAAATATTCATTACACAAAACATATATAACAAGTCTTATACAAAAAAATCTAACTATTACTCTTACACAACAAAGAACTAATTTATGAGATAAACTACAAAGAGAAACAAATCGCCATGAAACTAACAAAGAAACAAGATAATAAAGCAACTCAATTCCTCAGTCATAGACGTCCACTTTCCACCACCGATCTTTGCAACCTACAATCATATATAAATACACAGTTTGGTAAATCTCATAAACACTTTACATAGGAGTCAAGCATAGCAATCAGCTAAGTTAAAGTCTTACATCCTTAATGAGAGAACTTAGATGCTCTCGTCAAAAAGAATGACAGAATATATTCCTGTAAAGTGAAAGGCAACATCAGCAAAATCCCCAAAGACTAAACAACTAACTATCAACAAAAGTAAGTGTGAAATGATGAACATTACACGAAGATAAAGAAGCCCGTAAGAGGTCGTTTGGGCATGTTTAAAGTAGAAGAGCTCTTCTTCGTATCCTTGGCTATTCTAAGTCTTTTTGGCTTAGGTTCATCAGACTTCGTCATCTTCCTGAAAAACAAAAACAATATCACATATAGAAACAATACATTCAAGTCAAAGGTAAGGCAAAACGAGTTTTACTTCTCTGAATGTTTCTTCTTAGCCTCAGTCACATGTCTCCACAACTTGAACTTCTAGACAACAACAACAACAACAACAACCAGATCCACAGAAATTATGAGTGAGAACACTGAAAACACAAAATACACTAAGGGGGTTAAAAAAAAAAGAGATGAATACTAGATATAGGAAGCTCTAGCTCTAAAAAGAAGCTCTTCTCTTTTGGCTTCTGGATATTGAAAGAACTAGACAAAAAGAAAACCGCAAAGAAATAGACAAAATTGTGGCCAAAACACACGTATGAATCAATGACCAAAGGACACATGCACATAGTGACAAAAACTTTCTGAAATTAGTAGAAGTTACTGACTAAACATAAACATCATCAACGGATCATCCCTGCTAAATCAAGACATCCATATTTTTTTAATAGAAAACGTTAGCATCACAACCATAAGCCATTAAACAAAGTATTGATGGTGGGTACCGTTATGTATAATGTTAAAACCTACACATGTGAAGACCTGCATCTTGTGAAAACCTGCATCTTGTGAAAACCTGTATCATGTTTTGTAATTGAAAATATGCATCATATCTAAACCTCTCACGATCATTAAAGAGCTGGAACCAAACATGTATTGATCCAAAAGGAGCGAACTAAACCTGTTAACATAGTGCTTTGACAGAAAATAATCTATTGACTCAATGAATCAAACCTGAAATTCAAAATCCGACAAGCAAGCTAAAAGATACAACAAAGTATATGACTCATATTATGAAAGTTTCAACTTTGAATTATTCAAACAGTGGGGCACAAAATCTAGCTCGAAACTCATGAGAAAACAAAGTAAGTAAATAGCACGAAATTGAACAAAACAGACAAATCATGCTCATAAAATGGCAATTAAGAACAAATCTAGCTCGAAATTACTCTAGAGGAAAGAGACGAAACTATCACATTCAAGAAACCAAACCTAGAAAATTTGACTAAAATTTGAGTAAAAATCGACAAAATCTGAAACACCACTCAAATAAGGTTCCAAAGAAACGCTTACATAATTCTTTACGAGAGCGATATCATCTTCATCAAATGGGCGAGGATTCTTCTCGGCTCTAATCTCATCTTCACTAGATTTATGAATCTCACGAACAGCGATGGTTCAAGGACGGTAACGATGTGGCTTCTTGACTCCTCCGTTACCACCGGCATTACCAATTTCGTTAGAGACGAAATGATAAACTCAAAATTCAATCAAAATCAGAAAAACCCTAGATCCCCTTTCAAAATTAGTGGAGACTTGGGCTTTGATGGAGGGGAATTTTGCGTATAGGAGAAATTTTTTGATGAATTAGATGGGATTAGGATGGAAAAGAACAGAGACCGGTGAAGAAAGTGGAATCGAAGGTTGAGGCTATGGAGACTTGTTGATAGACCCATCGTTACCGATAGAGTGATGGAAATGGTAGCGATAGAGTGAGAACAGTGAGATCGAAAGGATGAGAGAGGGAGACCACTAATCGATTTTTTTTTAGGTCTAAGTCTGTGAGAAGTTCTCAATACGTTTTGGGTAAAAGGAGGAAATGTTTGTGAAAAGTTTTGCTAAGTGTTGGCGGAATAGGTCATTTTTGTTTCCCGCTTAAGGATTTTCGGTTTTAGCATTTATCAGGTGCTATTAAAAAGTAACCAAAATCACAAACTCATCTATTATAGCAGGTCAGGAAAATGCGCTATCGTCTAGTGCTATCAATGTGGACATTTTTTGTAGTGAGCTCTCAATCCAAATGTAAAATTTTTCGTATGGTTCTATACATTTTGATAAGGTACAAATTCTTTTATCAACGTTCAGAAGGTTGATGCGTAAAGATTGATTTCACCGGATAGAAATATAAAATTTTTTGAAACAGAATTGTTTACAAAAAATTATATATTTAAACATATATGAAAATAATTAATAAATAAATTGGAAAATTAAATAAAGTAATTTCAAAATATTTACAAGATATCTAATTTTGTTTTTTTTTTATGCGGATTATAAAATTTTAGTTATAAACCCACATATACGCGAATCCAATTTTTTCTTTTTTATAAGGGTTATAAAAGTTTTAATTTTAAACCCGCGTATACGCGAGGCTTAATCTAATTGATTACATAAAAATTTGTTGTATCTACTATACATTTTTCAACACTTTTAAGGGATCCTAATCGGGTCGGATTTTGATTTTTGCAACACTTTTAAGGGATCCTAATCGGGTCGGATTTTGATTCAATTTTGACCCGGAAATCTCAATCGGATCTTTTCTTAAATTTTGGCAAAATTTAAAAACGGAATTAATTAATAAAATCTAAAATATATAAAATATTTTCTCAATTAATTATTATATCTAAACTCTTTATTTATGGTATATTATTTACGATTTTTATAGATAAGGAAATCAAATATGATGATTTAATGCTAATATAACAAATTTGAGCTAATTTCCTAAAACCTCTCTACCTAATTTATACATAAATATATGATTCTCATTTTACTTTTATTTGATCTTATATTTATATTATTTGAATTATTATAAAATATATGTAGTTAATAAAACCTTAGATTTTTTCCTGCATATGCTATGATTCAAATTTTTTGAAACGGACTACTTAATCAATGAAGAAAAAAAGTATGTGTGTAATATATATTAACATTTTTGAAGAACAAATTTGCGCATTTAATTAGGTCGTTTTTTTCTCTGACCCGGAATTGAATCATTTAGATCTTTCCTTAATTTCTACAATTATCCAAAGCGGGACCGTATACTACGGGTGAAATCCTAAAATTAACAAATCAAAATACAATTATTTAGTATTTTAAGATAAAATTATAAATTGTTTTTACTGGTTGGTCCAAAAACACACACTAATTTAAAAATTATATATATATATATATATTTGTAAGGCTAAAAGATCTTTTCGGAAAGCGAACATAAGTCCTGTTGATGTTAGGAGGGAGGAAGACGCCACTAAAGGCTGAAACTCTTGGAAGTGGTGCAGGTATTTCATTAGAGCATCATGCTATCTTAGAGAAGTTTGATTCACTAACAGGTGATGGTCATCGTGACAAGTGTTTGGGGAAGCTTCTGGAGGCAGTCCAGCACATATTTTATATCCCTGAGAACAAACAGGCTGGCAATGATGCAAAGGTGGGTTCAGATGGATCCCATCATTAACATGATGAGAAAGATACAAAGACTGAGCAGGAAAATCCATTAACAAACTTTCAATGTAAAATTAAAATGGCGAAAAGGTGGATGTGTATGGAGAGTGGAGGTACTTGTTCCTGTTTTGGTTGTGTTTCTACTTTCTTCTTCGTTTTCTCACTTTCTACGAGTTCTTTATTTTTCTCTCTTTATTAAGGTTGAATTTTATTATTTTCTTGTATCTTATGAACAATGTACATTAACTTCTCTTTTTTTTTTTGTGTTTTTGTCTCTGCTTTAGGAGTGCATATAAAGCTTGAGAAGGATTGATCGGAGAACCTGATAAAGTTAGGTAGGGATTGAAGCCAACGGTCTGTGCTCGTTTTCTTACCTTAGGATAGTTTTTGGGATACTCTATCACAAAATAGGTAGTTATGCATCTATTTTCCTAACACAAACAACAAAGAATCGATGTCACAACAATAAGGAAATGAAAAATACCAAACCAAACTGAAGCAATTGATTCGTAAAAAGGAATGAAATCGCAGTAAACCGAGAATCCAAAAGAATCAAGAAGCAATTGATATTTTTAAGAATGTGAAAATGCAATTTGATTCCTTAAAGCAAGAAAGTTGACTGAGATTCGTTATTGCTGAGCAGACCAATGTGGGTAGGGGTGGGCATTTGGTTGAGTTGTTTTCCAACCCGAATGGTTCGGTTCGAGTCGGGTTTATACCGAACCGAACCGTATCCCGACGGACAAAAAGCTAGGTCAAATTTCTATAACGGATCAACGTTTTCCAAGCAGATCTACGATCCATACAATAACCTAGGAAAAGAAATCAACACTTGGGGAAGAGAAACTTACTGTAGAGAAAACGAAACTGAACGGTTGCTTGTAAGAGAAACAAACACAGAAATTGATAACCGAGTTCACGGCTTAACCGCTACGTCTCGGGGGAGATCTCTTGCTCCCAAAGGAGATTACAAACACACACACCACTTGACTTGTAATGTTGTCTTTGGTTTCAGGTACAATCTCAAGAAGAACAACTCAAGACTTTACTGTTCTATTTTTAGAGATAGAAATCAAAAGCTACTACAGAAACAAACACTGTTGCCTTAACCAAATTCGAGGAAGCCAAGGAAGTGACTAGAGATAATTCAGAGAAGATTAAATTGTTAAAAAGGAAATTGCTCAAAAACAACAGCAATTCCACATCCTTCATGACTTAGTAACCGCTTCAACTGAAACCGTTTTTAATTAATCACATGTTTCTGAGGGAAACACTTGAAAACATCACATGTTTCCCTAAACAAAATACCTAAAACCACATGTGTTAACCCAAAAACATCACAGACACATGTCATACCGAAAAAATAGTTCACCCTCTCAGAACCACACTTGCAAAGATGCATATAACTACCTATTTTGTGTTAGAGCATCCCAAAAACTATCTCTGCTCTAATCCAAAAGACAGACACTTACCTAAGACGTTTTTTCAAACCTAACCAAAACCTTACGCAACCAAAATCAGGTTCTCCTCAGCATGTCCGTACAAACCCTGGCTAGCTCCTACAGGCAGTGACAAAAAATGGAAAAGAAACGAGAAATTAGTGTACATTATATGTTATAAGAAAATAATAAGATTCAGCTTAATAGAAAGAAACATAAAGAATTCGTAGAAAGTGGGAAAACGAAGAAAGTATAAACACAGCCAAAAACAGGAACAAGTACCTCTTCAACTCATGATACCATGCCCATATGTCCCCAACCTCTTCGCCATTCTTCTGTGGCTTAGCTTTGATGGTTTTTACCATCGGTGGAATTAGCTTTATCACTGGAGGATGATAGAATATAGTGTAGTCTTGCTCACTATGCCAAAAAACCAAAGGCAAAACCGGTATCAGAAGCAACTTCATAGATTTATAATCTACAAACTGATTAAATGTTGGAGATGCGGTAGGAGAATACCTCAGTGGCAGCCTTGGAGAAGACATCAGAGGCATCTTCGGAGAAGACTGTCCATGCTCACTCATCTTCAGCTTTTCTTCTGCCTCCTTGTCGAACTCATCCTCCCTGTGCCTTCTCTCAGTTTCTGCCCTGCAGAGTATATTTTACATAGACTGAGGTAGGAGAAAAGGAAAGCAAGAAGGGTCTCTTCTCCTAGAATCTAGCTGTGGTAAACATATCAATAAAGAGGAGAGTCCTAAAGTGAAAATTCACAACAATTATGAGACTACTTTCCTAAAATGGAAATTTTGTTTTCTATATATATAATTTTAAACTTCATGCCTATGACGTAGTTAATACTTTGTCCTATTAGAACTTCATGAAAAGTGAAGATTTGTCCCGAAACGCTTACGGTATGATACGATGAAGAAAATCAGTTACTTTTGCCTTCTACAAATACGAAAAAAACAAGGAATGGTCCATCTACTTTTATCTCCTTCTTACCATATTTGTAGACGAATCTCATGGTTGCCAGAAGGAGAAGAGAGACGGGTCGGCCGAAAAGAATCATTGGTGGATGCACAAGAGCTGGTCCCCGAGTCCGCCATCTCCAGGAAGGACTCCTTCGTCGCCGGAGAGGCTGGAGAAGTTGGAGAGGAGGGTAAAGAACGAGAAAGGAAGTCGTCTTTTGATGTTATCGAATCCGAAAGATATTTTGAAATTGTGGGATTGTGGGATATGATTTGGAAAACAACGGCCGATAGAAAAAGTAGAAAGAGAAGTGCAACAACGAGATTTTCGGTGGCATTCATCTTCGACGGAAATGGCGAGAAAGATCTAGGGTTAGAGAGCGAAATTGGGGATAATTATTTTAGAATTCCTCTGTTAATATCTGTGTTAATATCTGTAAATGGGTTAATATCTCTCAATGGGTAAAAAAAAAAAAGGAAGTTCTGTGTTAGAATTCCTCTCAATGGGTTAGAGAGCGAAATTGGGGATAATTATTTTTCCGGCCACACAATTATAATCTAATGTATGTTTTCTTCATTTTTAATAGATTAATCAAATATTAAAAAAATTCATTTAGCTCCAATATTTTCAAACCAGAGCTATCTTGGTAATTAACCTGGCTCGGATTCAAAGCTAAAATCCGATTATCTAATAAACTCAGTTAAATCTGTAAAAATAAGTTTGTACCGGAT